GGATGCCCGATAGTATTTGAATTTTTAATTTTTTTTCTACAAATCCAAATTACTTAAAATTTTAGACGTGCGTTGATAAAAAATTGGTGAATATTCGAAAAATATTAAAAAAATATTTTACATGAAAAAAGACTAAAATGCTCCCATAAATTTTTGGGGGTATTTTAGCCATTTTTAATTTTGTGGATTATTTTTTTTATATTTTTATTAGGTGCGGCTTGATGAGAAGAATATTCACCTAAAATTTCAAATGATTTGGATTTGTAGAAAAAAAAATTAAAATTCAAATACTCTCAGTCGTTAGATTGGATTCAATCTGGGCCATTGGGATTATACTATTCTGTGAAAAGTATATAATTAGACCATTTACCTTTGGTACAAAGTGGTCACTATTAATCTTAACCATTGGATGTAAAATTGGGTGGCTGCATTTATTTCAATGACCAAGCTCAAATTTCAAAAGAATTCTTCTTGAACTTTGTGATACATTCAAGCTATCAGATTTCACATCAGATGGTTGTAAGTAATTGTGACCTTCTTATACTAAAGGTAAATGGTCTCATTGTATATATATATATATATATCCTTACATCGTAGATAACGTTGTTAGCATTTTCAGCCAAGGGTAGGGGTTTCCTCTGGTCTACTAAAAAAAAGAAAAAAACAATAAAAATCTTATATCTTACATGACATTGTTAGCATTTTAATTCCTTTGGCTTCATCTTGTGTTGATTGAGGAGGTGTTTGTTGGGAATTATAGTCTACATGATCGTATAGTTACCTTGTCATTGGCTTGACTTTATTTATTCTTCATGGCTCCATATGCTAAACCCACAATAGAAGTGCACCTTGTGTGTATAGGATGGTACATAATCACCACTGCCTGTTCTCATCAACGGATGGTGAACATGAGCCGAGTTGGCTTATGGGTTGTGGCAAAATTTAAAGCAGAGCAAAACAAGTCATGTTCACTGCCAGTCAAAGAGGACCCATGGGGGATATTCAGTCTGTATCCTACACTATACACAACACCTATGTGATATGCCCTGTTACTTCATTTGCAATTCTCCTCATACATGTTGCCTTACTGGATTGCTTAGTTGCCTGTCCTATTCTTTACAGACTTGAATCGAAGTAACTCTAGGCTTGTAGCCCTTACCATTTGAGTGTTATTGGTACGAACTATTCATGATATCTAATGAAGGCGCAAAGACTAAAGCTAAAAGTATAGAAGGATGTAACATAAAACAGTTAAAAACAACAAGGTTTTATCTACGTTTGTGTAAGGCATCAACCTTAAACAATCAAAGTAAGTGGACCTCCAAACGCTGCCGTAGGATGCAGTTACTGTGTTGGAAACCCCCACAATAACCCGAAAATCTATTTCCACCTCTAATCCTGAACTATAAAACTCCAATAATTGTGTAGATTGAGTAGATCTATGAACAACTGAGAATCCAGATAAATTGTTAGAAGATGCATCATTTTTAGGAATTGCATTCCTTTATTTTCATATTCATACAGCTGGAGGTCGTGATGATCAATCAGGGGGTTTTCCAATGTCAAAACAACATTTTCCAATGGGTTTTCAAGGCATACCTTACTTTTACGGAATAAGGTTGATGCATTGTATAAACTTTTTTCGTTATCGAAAGGCCTCTTGTTATTTAGCATTGTTTGTTTTCATTTTTCAGATGATTTTCTGCGCTTCTCTTTTGCTTGACTCTTGCTTTTAATGTCTCAACTCTTTTACTTTTATTTAAGCTAAACTGATATGTATCGACTTGGTTGACAGGGGAGCTTGTAGAATATGATAAGCCGTGGAAACTTATGGAAACTAACTCCTCCTTTGCTAAGCTAGTGGCTGAGTACTGGGCCCACAGTAATAGGAGGGCATAATAAATCCTTTGACGTTTGGTGTAGAGAGAGAGATGCATGTCTGTCTGAATCGTAAGGGGAGAGAGAGAGAGAGAGGTGCATGTCTGTCTGAATTGTAAGGTTTTTTCCTCCTAGATATACTGCATTGGTGACACCATTGCTTGATAGCCATATATGTATTTATGTGCAATGTCTTGTGAAAGGCATACTTTGGAGGATAATGCAATTCTTATACCGAGATCGTTGAAGGATCTATTTATTATTATGGGCACGCTTTCTACACTTCCCCTAATGTACAGTAATTATATACTTTCCTTTATCTAGCCATGAGATCTGAATGAACTGTTGAGATGCATCCAATTACAATGTCACGCGTCTACATCTTTTTATTTTTCATGTTTTTCTACAAAAAAATTTGACACCAAATTTTGGGCATCTACTCAACTTTTAAATTTTCACATGTAAAAAAAAAATACAAAATAATATTTTTCAAAAAATAAAATGACCAAAATACTTCTGAAAGTTTTAGAGGTATTTTGGTTATTTTAATTTATTGGAAATATTGTTTTTATATTTTTTTTAGGTGCGTCCTATTGAGATGATGACACGTACCAAATTCAATAATTATAGAGATTCAAGGGGTAGCCTCGATTTTGGTTCGAATATGGGTCCAAAAACTAGACCTGATGGGTTGGATCTTGGTTCAAATCTTGGACGCGAATACTATTTGAATTTGGGTTCGGGTTTAGGTTCGGTAATATTTATCGGGCCAATGTATGAAATATATTTAAATATAATTAAATGCGTAGGTATTTTAATTTTTGCGTCAGGTCCGAACCCCAACTCGAGCTGTTGCCACCCTTATGTTCTCCCCTCTGCCACTCTCCCCTCTTCCACTCTCCCTCGGCCACTTAGATCAGCCATTTGCTATCCGGCCCTTTGCCATCTGATCATCTGCCTTTCGTGCAGCCAGAGAGAGAGAAGCCCCCACAGATAGGGGTGCGGTTTGTATAGAGCCTAAGCTCTTAGAGCATACTTTCAAATAGTGTCGAGAAATGTGGATTCAATATTGAAAATCTTTATGATAGCCTTAAAATATATTTTCATCTTTATTTATAAAGTTTAAACCTTCAAATATAGTATAGATCAATAGATCTATGAAAACTTGAACATCTTGAAAATTGATAGTTCAAAAATGCATTACAAATACAATACTATTTCTAAAAGTTGAAATCTATTTTTTTCTCATATCCATGGATCTTGTGGAGATGATCAATTTGAGGATATTTGAGCATCAAAATAACCTCTTCAAGTGAGATTTTTGAGATAGGCTTTAATTTGATTGTTTAGAACCTCGGCTCCATATCAACTTTTCCCCGTCGATATACTCTCTCAATCTCTCAATAAGCTTTTTATGCGGAGTCTGCCCCATCTGATAAACCTACAGCCACTCACCCAAACACTGTGGTCCACAGGGACCACACTTCCTTTTTACACTTTTGCATTAGTTACTTAGAGCAACTATTCATTTATTTTTGGGTATTGGCCTAAGTTGGGAGAGAGTATTCATTTTAAAAGAAAAGTGGTCCCCCTTTAGAAGCTCTTTCTCCCACTTTTATATTCCTTTGCCCCATCTTTCCCGCTCGTTTTTTTTTAATGTATCTCTCTCTTTCTCTCTCTAATTTTTGCCCTTTCTCTCACTGTAAGAACTCTCTTTCGCTGGAGACTTGATTCTATTTGTGTTTTGTTGGAAATGCTTTGCATTTCAGTGAAATCCCGTATTTTGTTTTTGCCAGAAATTGCTATTTTTTGCCTTAAAATTCAATTTCATGGCCGGAAATTTCTATGTTTTGCCAAAAAATATCTGGTCGTAGTTTGTTATTCTTAGGCAAAAACTGTTTCACTGGTTCTTCTTTATTCTGGCCGGAGTCAGCATTCATTTTCTATAAAATTTGGTTTTCTTCATCACAATCTGCTCTGTTTCTCCTAAATTTAATTGATTAATAAATTTCTTAGAAGGAAATTTTCGGATATTAAATACTGGATTTTGCTCTTCTTAGATGGGAATCAAGTTTTCTCGTCGGAGCCTATTCGGTACTGCACCGATAATCAACTTTCTCGTCGGAAAACCGCTTTCTCACTTGCTCTACGCAAACCATCCGCCGCTTAGGAGGCCACTACTGTCACCATACAGTGTTCTTCTTTGAGCAATCTCTCTGATTTGCTCCTAAAGCAATCTGAATCGTTGCCTCGTGCTTTATTGTCCTCGAATCTAATGATTTCTTTTTCAGATATTTTTTCCCTGCGATCCAGTCTCGTGATCCAGGATCCTACAACTTGTACATGGCTTCCGGAAAAGGAGAGATCTTGGCCATAAAATTTGATGGGAAAACAACCCTGAATTACAGTTTCATTTTTAGTTCTTTCTGTTCAAGGAAAATGATTGTAGGGGTATATTGAGGGATATTAGAAGGCTAAGAGGCTTTCGAATTGTGAAATGTGGGAATATTTAAAAAAGTTGGATCAACAATCAAATCTTACAAGACAATTTCGAGTCGAGTATGATATATTTACTTATAGACTGGGTAGAAAAGCATCCAGGAATATTATGTTGGTTTCATAAACTTGTGTATAGAAAATTTGAAACTTCTAGTATCAGCAGTGTTTGCTACATCAAAGTTTAAATGAGATAAATGATGATTGTAGTTCCCTTTCAACGTCGCATTCCTCAATCCGCAACATAGAAGCTAGAGATTGATTGTAGTACGCTTTCAAATTGTAGGGATCTCGAGAACCCCTTAGCTTGCGGAATCGAGAATCCTAAATGTCGAGATCCCACCCAAGATCGTGTACATAAATACAACTATAAATCGAGTGCAAAAAATAAAGCAAACATAAAAAAACGCATCGGTAAAACACCATCAATGATCTTCCCTTCTAAACCTACTCTCCCGACCGAGCAACACCATAAATCATCCTCTTTCCCACTGTAACGCCGCTATTGAAAGGATAACCTCGAGAGCAATATAGAGATTTATTCTCTTTAGATATGGAAGTTAACCAACTTAAAACTCATGGGACTAACGCCTCTCTCTCGGAAGCCATATCCTTCTCTTTTGGGAAACCATCTCCATACTGAAGATTCATTCCCATAATCCCCAAAGGGATGACCATCAAAGGATGGGTATTATATCATCCTTCATTCTCTTATAAATATATCGCTTTCTTAATTTTCAAGAAAGTCAATTTTCTATTTCTTAGAATACCCTAATCTTTTAAAGAAAATATGGGTATGGTGATTTAACTATCACCAAATTCAACAATCTCCACCTTGATAGTAAAATCACAATACTTACCTTGATAACCTTCATTGAATAAATTTCTCGATTTCTTCATACTTGCATCCATTGTAGATATTCGCAAACACTTTGACTTCAAATTTCTCTACCTCAAACCATGGATATTTCTTGATTTCTTCTCACTTGCCTCCATTGTAGAAGTTTCACAAACATTTTGTCTCTATATTTCTCCACCTCAAACCATGTATCTATCAAACTCCACCATGCATTATTTTTTTAATGCAAGCCATAGCCATGTATAGACCTGCTCTGATACCAATTGTAGGGATCTCGAGAACCCCTTAGCTTGTGGAACAAGGAATCCCAAATACCGATATCCCACCCAAGATCATATACATGATTGACTAAATGCGAAGTAGATGAATACAACTACACATGAGTGCAAGAAATAAAACAAACATTAAAAACACACCACAACAGTTCACTCTATAGGGCTACATCCACGGTCACGGCAACTAGAAATCCATTATTACAATGAAGATTACAGTTTTAAGTTACAATAGATAATACCTATCTCTAAACATCGATAAAACACCATCACCGAGAGCAATATAAAGATTTTTTCTCTCTAGAAGTGGAAGTTAACCAACTTAAAACTCATGGAAATACCGTCTCTCTCTCAGAGGCCATATCTCTCTCTCATGGAGACCATCTCCATATTGAAGATTCATTCCCAACAGGGTGACCATCAAAAGATGTGTATTATGTAATCCTTCAGTCTCTTATAAAGATATCATTTTCTTACTTCTCAAGGAAATCAATTTTCTATCTCTTATAGGACCCTAATCTTTAGAAGAAAATATGTATATGGTGATTTAGCTATCACCAAACCCAACAATCTCCACCTTGAGAGCAAAATCACAATACTTGCTTTGACAACCTTCATTGAATAAATTTCTTGATATTTTCGTTCTTGCATCTATTGTGGAATTTTCACAAACACTTTGTCTCCAGATTTATCCACGTCAAACCATGTATCCATCAAACTCCACCATTCATTATTTGTTTAGTGCAAGCCTGAACCCTGTACACACCTTCTCTGATATCAATTTTAGGGATCTCTAGAACCCCTTAGCTTGCGAAATCGGGAATCCCAAATATCAATATCCCACCCAAGATCGTGTACATGATTGCCTAAATGCGAAGTAGATGAATACAATTATAAATCAAGTGCGATAAATAAAGCAAACATAAAAAACACATCACAGCAGTTCATTCCATATGGCCACGGCAATTAGAAATCCACTATCACAATGAAGATTGCAGTTTTGAGTTACAAGAGATAACACATATCTCTAAACATCGGTAAAACACCATCATCGATCTACCCTTCTAAACCTGCTTACCTGACCGAACAATATCATAGATCAACCTCTTTCCCACTGAAATGCCACTACCAGAAAGATAACCTCGAGAGAAATATAGAGATTTTCTCTTTCTAGAAGTGGAAGTTAACCAACTCAAAACTCATGGGTATACCGCCTCTCTCTCGGAGGCCATATCTCTATCTCTTGGAGACCCATCTTCATATTGAATATTTAATCCCATAATCCCCAAAGGGGTGGCTATCAAAGGATGGGTATTATATCCTCTTTCACTTTCTTATAAAGATATTACTTTCTTACTTTCCAAGAAAGTCAATTTTTTATTTCTTATAATACCCTAATCTTTAGAAGAAAATATGGGTATGGTGATTTAGCTAACATTAAACCCAATAATCTCAACCTTGATAGAAAAATCACAATACTTGCCTTGATATCCTTCGTTGAATAAATGTCTTTATTTCTTAATACTTGCATCCATTGTAGAATTTTCACAAACACTTTGATTTCATATTTCTCCACCTCAAACTATGATATTTCTTGATTTCTTCTCACTTGCCTCCATTGTAGAAGTTTCACAAACACTTTGTCTCTATATTTC